ATTTGAGGTCCGATTTCAAAACAAATTATATATTTGAGTTCGTGGGGGAATGGGTAATCGGGTTTTGGTTCGAACCTCGGGTTTTGACCACGCGGGCTCGGGGGCAATTTTTGACTTTTTGGGTAAATCTTTGGAAAACTCATTTTCATGCATTGGGGTTGGTTCATTTAGCACTTATTGATATAATTAAGTAATTGTGATTCGATACGAGCGAATTGGCGGTGGAATCAAGGGGTAAAGCTAAAATTGAGACTTGAGTTGTGTTCAAGGCATCGAGGTAAGTGTTTGGTCTAACCTTAGCTTGAGGGATTAGGAGTTGAGTCCTATTTACTATGTGGTATTAGTCGTGTACGATGTATGGGCATGGTGACGAGTATCTATACGTTGGTGTCTATCATGACCGTGAGTCTTTACTTCGTGAATATTTGATTTCATTGTATCCTTCATGCTTTGGTGATGATTCTAGTTGTTGTGAAAAGTTTGTGGGAGGAATTGAGACCTTTGAACATCATGGAGCATTGGCTTGAGTTATATTACGAATTGTGAAAGTATATGAGATGATTGAACCCTTTGGAGCATTGGCTCAAGTGGTAAAGTGAGTTATGAAATAAAAGTGAAAGAAAGAGAAAGAGTTATTAAACTGTTCCCTTGCCGGGATATTGTTGCTTTGTGGATTATCTCCCTTGCCGGGATGTTGAGATTGTTAATGTTGTACCCTTGCCGGGGTTTAATTGGTTAATTGTGTTCCCTTGCCGAGATTTCTATTATTATTTTGTTTATTCCCTTGCCCTTGTTTGTGATTATTGTTTGGGTGAGGAAGAGTGTTAAAGAACGAAGGGTGATGTCGTGCATTGTTTGTTATTGTGAGGAAAGAGTGTAAAGCACGAAGGGTGATGTCGTACCGCACGATGTACCATTCCGTGCCAATTCTATTGATTATATGTGAGGAAAGAGAGTAAAAGCACGAAGGGTGATGCCGTGCACATTTTATTATTCTAATTGCTTTGGTGAGGAAAGAGAGTAAAAGCACGAAGGGTGATGCCGTGCACGTTTTCATTATGTCATTGCTTGGTGAGGACGAGAGTAATAGCACGAAGGGTTATGCCGTGCACTTATTTGATTTCTGCTTCTTGTTGACATTGTAGTATGTTGTTCCTTTCCTTACTTGATGCTTTATTCGAAACTGTTATCTCCCCGCAACATGTTTCCCCCTCCCATCCTTACTTGTT